GGAATTCTCTAATATATCCGAGAATCCCAAAAATATCAGAAAATCTCGAAAATATTCGGTGTTATTAAAAATATTAAAAATTTAAAATATTCAAATTTCCGGGATTCCAAAAACGTCAGAGATTCGCAAAGATGTTCGAAATTCCAAGAATGTCACGAAATCTCTAAAATGTGCAGAATTTCCTGAAAATATCCGAGACCCCGAGCCGCCTCTAGCATCGGTATTCTGACATTTTCGGAATCCGGCACGCCACTACTAAATAAACTTTGGTTCATTTCGCGTCCATGTTCGTTATTTGCCTTATCTCAATCACCAAACACGCGAGGATTATTCTGGAATACGATGGGCCATACGGTATCGTTACCTTTCTACGAAAATATCTATATTCCCTATAGATATTTACCGTATTCGTACACACATAATCAGAATTCCAATAGAATTAGTAGAATAATTCTAGTATAATAATATATAATACTATAGTTTTAAATTCATTTAAAACGCAATAAAATTTCTATGCAACACGGGTCTATTTTATCATCCGAAATCCTGTGCCGCAAAGAGTTAATAGCTTATAAAGAGCTCATCAGGATCATAAATTTAAGTATAGGAATAACTATACGACTTACGCTTAACGTCACCAATCAACCGAATCAGAAAATTCTCAAAGTACAGGGGGTTGATAAATACCAGAAGCTAAACTTTTACACTTTGTTCACACCTTCCAAATTTTTAGCACCTTTCTAAACATACTAAACGATATTCTAATAACATTTAACCCTTTGCACTCGACGAATTTTTGGACAAAGAAAGATAGGAGTTCAAAGATTTTCTGTTGCAAAGCTGACGATATTTTTCTGAGCAGGAATAAGAAGTCGCGTGATAATTAACACGTAGAATTATTTGATTTCGATACCTCGCACACCGTTACGTTATCTGAAATTTGACATATCTATGAATATCGAGCTTCGAAATTTTATCAAATGGCGACTGAAGGGCACCTCTCGAGTGCAAAGGGTTAAAAGGTAGACTAGATGCAGATAGAAGAGTGTACAAAATTTTCCTTCAGCCTAATTAATTTACACTTGAGCCTTTGTTTTTTGATGTTACGCGAAGATCCAGCCTGACCGTGCCCTCCTGCAAGCAAATTGCTACCCCCGACCAGGAAGAAACGCGAACCCCGTTAGATCGACTGGTCGATTAACGTATATTGAATTACGATCATCATTCCCAAGGACGTTTAACTGAATTATAGCTTGTTTACTGTTAATTGGGAAGCCTCATAAGGATAACTGCGAACTGATACCAATTATACGGCCATTACTCATGCGAGAACAACAGGGGGTGCAACGCGTTTAGCCATGTTGAAGGTTTCCAGCAACGACCGCGTCAAATCCAATTGAGATTACATACCCGGCGCATAATCGCGTTCCACGCCATTCATGGCAACGTTTCGTCACCGCGGCGCATTCCGGGACGTTACGCGACTATGCAAACGGATCTCGAAGATCCCGGAGATCCTGAAGATTCTCTCGTCGATCAGAGTAACCCAAAGAATCGCGATATGGGAGTTATCCTAACCAAATATGGGAAATATTTCATCCCCTTTGCATCCGGGACAGGTTGCACGAGGATTGGAATTGGGCCCACGAGGGTACCAGATTGGGTCCACGTTTGTGAGGTCATAATCGGGCGACGAGGCGTCACAGCTTAGTGGCCACACGGTGCTGTGAAAATTCGAATGCTCCTATTCATTGATGGGCCCAAACTTGTGGGCATGTCGCGGGAGAGGGGGCATCGGTCGCGAAGAAAGGGGCATCGGTCACGAAGAAAGGGGCATCGGTCACGAAGGAGGGGGCAATGGTCGCCAAGAAGGGAACACCGATCGCGTTCGTCTCGAGTTTCCAGTGCTCCCCCAGCGAGAAGAAGATAGCTATCGTGAATTGGAGTTGGACCCACGAGGATACCAGCTAGGGCCCATGTTTGTGAGGCCATAATCGGGCGACGAGGCGTCACAGCTTAGTGGCCACACGGTGCTGTGAAAATTCGAATGCTCCTATTCATTGATGGGCCCAAACTTGTGGGCATGTCGCGGGAGAGGGGGCATCGGTCGCGAAGGAGGGGGCATTGGTCGCGAAGAAGGGGGCACCGATCGCGTTCGTCTCGAGTTTCCAGTGCTCCCCCAGCGAGACGAAGATAGCCACCGTGAATTGGAGTTGGACCCACGAGGATACCAGCTAGGGCCCACATTTGTGAGGCCATGGTAGGGGAAGGACAGCGTCCAAGTAATGACCACGCAGTGCTGTGAAAATTGGAATGCTCATATACACTGATGGGCCCAGACTTATGGGCATGTCGCAGGGAAGGGAGCACCGATCGCGTTTGTCTCGAGTTCTCAGTGCTCCCCCAACAGGACGAAGATAGCCATAGTGGGGGTTTCACATAGTGAGGGGATAAAGTTCCCACATAAACCCGTTCGCTAGAGTTCGCGATATCTTTTGAAAATTTCCCTCACATAAAAGAAAAAGGAAAAGAAAATAGACCCAGGGGGATACATACGTTTAGCACCCTCCAAAGCAAGGAAGTAAACTCGTATAACTGGTAAACTGTCGTCCTCTGACGACACTTGCTGTTAGCAACACGAGAATGAAAGTCCCTAACATGGATAACGTATGGGGATATTCTCCCCCGATTATTTATCACAACAATTATAACACGAAAAATTAAAGCCACGAATACATCGGCGAAATTCTTCTGGAGAGAAACTCACGGCCAAGGTTGGTCGCGAGATATATGGAGGAAATTTTCCAGGGAACTCCGCATGGTTTTGCTCGTGACGGTTTCAGCTTTACCGGCACGAAAGCGCGTGATATAACGCTTCAGGCGAACACTGCCGGCGAGGACATAAACTCTCACGCTCTGACTCTCGCGGACAAAACCTGTTACACCGTGTTAGCTGGCGAACAGCTTACAAATAGTTCTCCTTCGTTCACCCTCCACCGTGCGGCCAGGCAAGCTAAATCTCCGGGGCACGCTGCGCTCGTCGAAAATCGCGAGTTCGGCCACCAAACACGGCAACTACCCTGAGTCGGTGAACAGAAAGAGACGTCGAGATTAGATGAATGTTACTTGGACCAGGGCTTGCGGAGGGCTGACAAATTGATTTGCAACTGGAATTCCCGGATTCCTTTCCAGATATACACCAACTGCTCGAAGAGGTATACCTAACTTGTATCGGAAGAATTAAAAAGGAAACTGGATTATACGTTGCTGGATTATTGTCGAGCGAGACAAAAGATTTGAAAGATTCGCGAAGAAAAATCTTCGCGATATTTCCTGCGAATTATGCGAAGTAAAACGTGGAGAATGAGGAAAATGCGAACGGAACGTGCTAAAAGAAAATCGCGCAAATGGGAATGAAACGTGCAAAAAATACTGTATAAAAAGCGACACAAGTGTGGTATTATACCGAAAGTATAATAATAGGGGAAAGTAGAGCTTGAGACCTAGATGGATATTAAAGAGCCGAAAGCACAGACGAGCATCTTGGCCAAACTGTCACCACCCTGAACCACTCTAGTCATCTCACACGCATACGTGTTTCGCACAAAGCTTTATCCAGCAAGGAATTCCGAAATTCTTTCGTCTTTTAGTGACCCCTCGGACAAACGACGAGGTATCTACGTTAAGGTCATAAAATCAAAGGCAAGCTCGAAATTCAGGTGCTTCAAGCCTCTATAAAATAACCGAGAAATTGCACGGAAGAGTAACGATAAAATCGAAGCATGATCATGAAGCAGGCGACACGACCGAGGAGCATCGAGCTCATGCGACACTTTATGATCCAACCTTCGCTTTTCGAGATGACAGGAACGTAGGCTAGTACACGAAATATCGCTCGGAATTTCGTTCTTCCACGAAGAAACAACCCTAATACAAGCCTCTCGAAATTTCCACTAAGATGCCCGTGATGCAGGTACCTCTACTGCTTCAGAAGCATCTTTGCACTCTCGCTTTCAACTAAGTCTAAATGGGACTTAAATCAACGTAACCACACGTGGAACGTTAAAAGAAAATAATTTACAGAGACAAAAGATCGTGGAGTGATTTCAACTTGGTTTATACTTGAGCTTCTCTACCAGAGTTGAATTTATTTTCTAAGTTCAACGTCCTATCCACTCGAACCACGATCTTACTTCAGAGAAGCTTATCTAAATTTCATATTCAGATCGGATATTCTAAGAGAGTTGTAACTACAGCGTTACCCATTCATAGTTCGTGTACATTCAAAGAAAAGACGTTTCATTTAACCCTTTGCGTACGAGTTGAAAAATTTTCTTCCATAAGGCTGATGATATTTTTTGAGCGGTAAATAAGAAATCGTATAATAATTAACACGTAGAATTATTCAATTTCAATACCTCGCACAATGTTACATTATTTTGAATTTGATATATTAATCAATATCGAACTTCGAAATTTTATCAAATGGTGACCTAGAGGCACCTCTCGAGTGCAAAGGGTTAAGAATGTAAAATTGACTTTGGAGTGATCTAGCAACTCTTACAACTTTTCTTTTTCTGTCTTAAATATTCGGTTTGCACTTTAGCACTAAACCTACCACGACTTAAATGACTATTTTTATTTGAATGACTATTTCTGATTCAAAATTCCGCTTTTAATGCTATCCCTTTGGTCCCTCGACTACGTGATTTCTATTTTATAATCAATTTTTCGACGTTTCTTCTTACTCAGTTTTCTTTAAGAGTGTTCTTCCATCCTCTTTTCGTCCATCGGTGAACTTAGGTTCATGTAGGTCGTGGTAGGTTCAGTGTTAAAAATTATTCTGGTCCGCAGAGGTTTGACCTCGACGTTTACTCTGCGACGTAACTGTACATTTTCTGGCAGGGAGAAAACGGCGGAGAAAGTGGCGTGAGCTGGTGTAGGTATCTCGCATAGGATAGTAAAGACAATCGGAGGTTAAAAGGATGACTGTCACTTACCAACGGCACGCATTCACGTGGCTGCTCCCCCTCAGGCAGCGTGGTGATGAGGAAGAGGACAGGGCTGGTGACGAGCAGACTGGTGACGAGCAGCATCGCGAACGTGAGCAGCGCCTTGTGCACGGCCTTACTGCGACGGAGCCAGTAACAAGGCACGCAGCATATCCAGGTACCCTGTTGAGCGGCCCTCTCGACGTGTACCTGAACAGAAAACAGAGTCAGTCAAAGCTCTGCGTCGCTATTTTCCTATTAATCGAACGTGATTCGGTACCACGAAAAGGAAAACAGAATATAGACCAATGGGGACCATATCTCGACACAGAATTTTGCAAATTACACTGAAAAATTAGAGTACAATACGGGTATCTACGAGTATTTTATGTGGGTCTCTAAGGAGTTTAACTCTTTCGATACTATGGGTGACTATAGTCACCGGTCACAAAAATTGTGCCAAAAATTAAAACAAATGCTACCGTTCCGTTTAGCCTTCTTCGCAAAGAATTGTAAGCTCTGGCGATGATCGCTTTTCCTTTTCCTTTTTCTTCCTTTTTTCAAAAAATTTGGCCCCGAATGCTAAAGACTGTGTGCGTGTAATGTTTCCACATTTCACACGACCCTTCGTTTTACAGGAGAGACTTAATGGCGATGCCCACCGTAGCGAAAGAGTTAACACTAAACTTCTAGGACCACGTGAAGAGAGTTAAAGAGTTATGGGAGCCACGAACATAACAGTGCAATACAAAAGTACACAGTACACGTATTCTTCACAAATTGTTGTATAAATTACTTCGGGTCTTTCTCGTAAATAAACGTAATTTAATTACATTCGAATTTTTGGGGTACACGAGGGAAGTAGAGGACAGGGAGCATGCAGAGGATGCCGATGTCTAGGAGACCATTAGCCAAGGAGTTGGAGAAAACATGGCGCAGAGGGAGGAATAAAGAACGTGGAATTGCGTTAACATAAGAGGTGGTTGAAGCATTTTCAGGGAATCCTTTTATTAGGAAGAGAATCGTTTAAAGGGAAAACATTGGAGGAATGGAAAAGAAATGTCAGGGAAATGGAATGTCAACACCATGCTGGATTACCGTGAAGCGTGGAGGATAAGTGACAAAGTAGACGAGCGGGAAATCGAACAAAAGGAAATTTCATCTTGCTTAAATCCTACGTCATACACCCCGCTGACTGTGTCCTTCTGTCCTTCGTGGTACGTATGGCAACGATTACGCGACTATAATGAAACAAGGTATAACTTCAGTGCTGTATAACGATAGGCAGGTCGATTCACTCGCTAATAGATTCAAAGGCAGCACCTAAACCTCGCAGCAGTAACCCTAGTTCCTGACCAATGTCTACTAATTTCGAATCATTTTCTTACTTGTACCTGTACTAAATCCTCAACTGATTCTAGAATCAAAATTCTCTAGCTTTTTCAATTTTTCAATCTACAGCAAACGTTGCGATATGGAATTTTTCATCGACGGTATAGGAGAAAACGCCGCGAGTCACAATTTCAAACAAACTTTGATTTCCCATTAATTGGGTTGCAAGATATATGACGTACACGCTTGTTCAATTTGACCGAATACTAGTAAAGCGAATCGATATTAACTCTCCACATTTACTTAGCTATAATAGACACTCATGAGATTGTGCTATGAAATAAATAGGATAAAACTAATTTCGCTATATAATAATTCCACGTTTAAGTAAAGAACTTCATACAATGCCCTAAATATGCGACACACTTTTTGTACAAAATTCTAAAAAGTCTCTGCTCAGACGGTGTTGCCTTTGAGTTAGCTAGCGAGTAGGTCAGCCTGTAGAATTGCGGGAAGAATAGTCACCATTGGCTCGTCGGGAAGACCGGATCCTTCCTCGGTGCCAGGATTGTTTCCGGGTCCAGGAGGCCCGGTCGCCGCGGTCGCAGTAGCGCCGGGTCCAGTGCCCTGTGCGTGCACATGTGCGCCACCTCCGGCCCCAGGGGCGCACAGAGTGCGAGGACTCAGGGGTAGCCTCACGCTTGCCTCGCCGCGGGATCTACCCCCACCGCCACGGGCCCCGCGGCCCCCGTAACCCCGGCTCACCGTGCACAGAGCCACATTTGCCGGGTCCCGCGGAACTCCCTAGCTCTCTAAAGCCCGCCAATCTCGAACGAGGGTTCGTTCGTGTCCAGATAAAGCTCCCACTCCGCCGCCAATGTCGGCAGGGTGGATCAGTCGACCGGCCCCTGTGAGTCCCTCTTCCACCTCTGCATCCTTTTCTTCCTTCACGATCTGTGGAAACCAGAAAATCGTTTTATCTACCACTTTCTCTTCTTCTTCGTGTTTTATACGTTGAACCAATCTTTTCATATTCGAATTCCCGAAGTGAGAAGTTTCAAAGAATCGCGAATCAACCCTCGAATGCACTTTGAAGCACGAAACAATGCGGAAGTGCTTTGCTTTGCCAGAGCTGCGAATCAATGGGAGATTTTAACGAGCGATTAAAATCCCAGTGATCGTCAGACGTTGGGTAGCTACTGTGACGAGTAATCAGTGTTAAATCAGAGTTAAATCAGCGTTAATTAACGTTCCTTACTGTGTTAAAAAGCTCGGATTTTGCTGTGACTGTTAAACGGAGTTGAGAAGCTCGAGAGACAGTCTGTTTAGAGCATAATTTGATCCTCTTTCGGGTTGTTAGGAGAACGAAAATCTCGATAACAGAGGCGTCGCCTTTTACTGTTTCATTGCCAGTTTCAGCTAAACCTTCGACCGCAATGAATTAAAGTACACGGTTAAAAAGCAGCCGCTGATAAGAATGGCTTTGCCAAATGTGCTCTACGTCCTCTCGTATCTCGGGCACCTGTGACTGTGTCTCTGGTGTTACGATCGTCGCACCGTTTCAGATAACGCGCCCCTTTTATCCCTGTGACGCTCTCTTGCTTTGTCCGGCATTAACGCTATTGCTCGCAATCAGTAACTTCCCTTGCACAAACAAGGAATTCTTCGAACACATTTGCATCGTCGATCAACTTACAGTCTAATTAAATTCGATTCATTATTGTTTCCATGTGATGGGCAACGTGCTATAGGAAGCTCGGACGAAGCCAGTCGCTCATAGATACATGCAGTTCGTTTCCTTTATCACACGCTACCTACTACAAAGAGCTCAGAGGAAGACAGACATAGGCAAGAGTGTCTTTTTTAAATACAAATCACTCGTTTTTGTCACACATTATTTGCTAAACCAGAAAAAGACAGAGATGGTCAATAGACAAGGGTATCTTTCTTGCTTTGTCAGACATAACCTATACGTTCTAAGTTAGTAGCAATGATTGTGTGACCAATAAAGAAAATTCGTGTATACCGATTTTTACATATGCATGCAAACAGGTCGATCTACTGATTGGTTACACCTAGTCACAGCTAATCGACTTCTTCTGAGCTCTCTACAGTACCAATTATTGTGATTACGCGAGCAATAATAAATCGGTTGACGAACATTTTCATGTCGAAATGAAGAACTCTTCGAAATTCTTGATACTGGATTCTTTTCTTGGGGATCCTGAACTAGCCTCGAATAATCGCGACGCTAATCTTGGAGATAGCATCGTCCGGCCAACTGGGAATTCGATGGCGCTGTGCGTGACACGGAATCGTTTGCCAGCGAGGGTGTCACCGAGATGGAATCGTTTTGTTCTTCTCGGTTAGAAAACTCTTCAGCACGATAACGACCATAAAGGAAAAGATGAAGAAGACACTTTCGATCCTTTCCAATGGAGACTGCGTTTAAATCGGAGGAGATTTCATCGAATGCATGCATCCTTCGCTCTCAAACAACCCCTTAGATCGTATTCTGTTACGAATCACGGAAATGAAGTTCGTGCTCAGTCGTGTGTATCATCGTGATAGCGTGTATCACGCTTTAAGTGGCACAAAGAAATCCAGAATAAGTTCCTCGCTTGAACGCAGATGTAGATAAAGCGAGATTTATAAAAGCCAAGGTTACGCACGAATTAAGTCATTCTCGTATCGTAAGGAGCGATCTGGGAGTCTACTAAATCGCCTTTACAGAAGCCTCGGTTTAATCTGGATTACTTCCAAGCTGTTTCCACCGTGGGATTTCTAATTTATGCGCATTTCTTCGTCGCGGCGAAACGCACAATCGCATCGATCGGGGAGGAATCGGGAACTCTGCTCTGTGGAAAAGAGGAAGAGGAAAAATAATAAAACGAGTTATCATCGAGTGTAGATCGGCGAGATAATCGACCACAGTCTTGGAACGACCACTTGCATGTACGCTTTAGTTGCGGGCAGATCTCTGTCTCTATCTATCTTATTTATCTACAACGAGCGTGATCAACTTAACAACGCCCTGCCCTGCGTTTCCTTCCGTTTTTACGCCCAACCCTGAAATTTACATTTCAAACGGAACGGGACCTCCTCGTCTATACTCCGACTCCATCATCGACGTTGCCTTTTATCGCGACCTTAGCTGCTCGTTAAATAATTCCTCTGGATCGACCATGTGACCAACGTAACGAGCTATCCTGAGAATATAGAAAACTCACACTAATTTCTACCTTCTCGATGACAAGTTGAAAGTGATATCAAACTCGTGATATCAGTTAGATAAAGAATAAAGTGATAATACCTACGTGGTACGACTATCATCTTCATTATGATTTCAATTCAATCCTACACGCTTTCCTGACAAACTGCGATTAATCTTGCGATTCTCTTTACGTTACGTTACTCTAAAAAACAGAGAAAATCACATTTATTAGGTACAAATGTACTAGTCAAACTTGGAAGCTTCTTCCTTCTTGCTTACTTCTCTCGTAAGTATCTGAATTAATCAACATAAGGAGACCATGTCTAAATACCAAACGAGTTTCTCCCTTGGACCAAAAGATGAGAAACCTAGAGAACCTGGAGATCGTAAATCCGAGCCACTCTCTAACCTGACCAAAGACGGATCGGTCTTACGTGGGTCAGACTGTTCATCTTCGTTGCTTGGTCGTTGGAGAAGTTTAAAACGCAACTTTGGATGGGCCGTAGAAGTGGAAACGATGGTTCGTGGTACCGGTGTCGAGGGTATGCATCATCGAGATGGCTAAGGGAATAGGTCGATCAGCCGTTCATAGAGATTTGCGGGCCTGACCAATCTGTATTGAACAATTTCGAGCAGGGCTTACGCTGATATCGCTCGGCACGATAAGAGGTGGCCGATCGTTCGTCAGGATTTATGAAAATGACGGCAGACGTGTCGGCATAGTTTATTCATAGGTGCGACAGCTAGCGAGGTGATATATTCGCCGATTATTTTTTGCATCGGGATAAAAATATTCAGGGCCGATGCGAGATCACATTTTCCAGTCAATGGAGTACGTGATCGAGGCCTCTGGTACGGCGGCGGAAAGAATAATGTAAACGAACCGGCCAAGCTGAATCGAGCGTGAAACCATAGATCCAGAAAAGACGGGGAAAACCGCTCGCAACTTGTCGCTTTCCTTTTACGAGAGTCGAGAGGAGGGCGCCACTGTTTCACCCAAGTTCACGATAGAGTTGCCGAGGTTCGACCGTGTCGCCAAAAGTGTATCGCCCGTCTTCGGAAACGTGCATCTCGACGAACTTTCAGCGGCCGCCGGGCTAACTTTTGCAAACGGAAAGAGATTCCTTGTAGCGGAAACTGCCAGTCGCTTCTTCCGTTCCGAACCAGAACGCACCGATCGGGATGTGTTTCGAATTGAAAAAGTTCCAGGCGCCAGCGCCCTCGAGTTAATCGAACCGTCGTAAAATTTCGAATATTTTTAGCCTAGAGTATCTTCGTCTATCTCGAAATACGCTCGAGGGTGAAACTCTTAGAAAATCTACATTCGTGAATGTTGTGGCAACTTTAAGTGCCATCGATTCCACGAAACAGTCAGAGTGTCTTCCTGTGGATTTATTTGTAGGTAGATACGAAGGCTCCTTTCAAATCCTAACTACGATTGATTGGTTAAGGCAATCAAGATGATGCAGTTCAGTTGAGTTCCAGGTGAATCTATATCGGTGGATTTTTTCAAGATTTTAACTGCAATCCGTTCCTCAAAATATAGCCACATAAATTTTTCAGTATCTTCGAATAGAATGATCTGTCAGTGGACAGGTTGAACCCCTGATGAATCTATATCCGTGGACTTCCTCAAAATTTTAGCTTCCAATGGATGTCTGTGAATCTGGTTCAAATATTGGTCCAAATCGATTCCTCGAATTATTTAAATCCATGCAAAATTCCAAATATATTTCGTCTAAAATAAATTCCAAGATTGAACTCTTGTGGTCCTTCTAAAATTACAGAGTTTTTTTAAATCTAGAGCGAAATCGATTTCTCGAAATGATCGGGAACAGAGCGTCGAGTATTTTTAGAATCGACTGTCTGTCTTCGTTTAGAACGATCTACGTGTCTAACACAGACAAATTCGAAGGTTAAACCCCTAACGAATCGATACTCATGAATTTCGTCGAGATTTCGATCGAAATCGATTAGTTATTCGAAGAAATATACAAAAATCGAGGTTTCAAGAATTATGTAGAGCTGAATCGATATTCCCAGAATACAATACACCGAGCAAGATGCTTCGGAAACATGTGGTCGTTTCAAGGGTAACATATTTTTCTATTCCGCGTCGTAGAACGTGTCGTAAAACCGTTGCGAAGTTTGATGCTCCGCGGTAACACGGAGAACGTCATTGAAGCTACTTCCGAAACATCGAAAGTTACATGTAAACAATTATATGGCGTCGCTGGTGCTGGCTCAGCTCGTTAACAGGCTCGTTAATGGAAGCAAACTGCTGCAAGTACGAACGTTTGTGCGGCAACTTTTCTAGCCTTGCACTTTGCAGTTAGCTTCGCAATATCGTTTCTGTACGACGTCGTAAAAAAACCTGCAAACGAGTCGACGCAAAAAATTCGTCAACCGACTTTTAAAAAAAAAAAAAAACTTTTAATTCCGTATTCAAAATTTCAAATGTTAAATTTCCTTTTATACGACCTACCGTAAAATATTTAAAAAAACCTTCCATGTCAACTTCGAACATTCAATTTACTTAACAGCCACGAACAACATCGTCAAACCATTAACCCAAATATCAATTTTCATCCTTCGAGCTCACCATGTTATCTTCATACCATCCACTTAAAAGAAAAAAAAAAAAAAGTGAAATGAAGTGAAAGGAAGGACGGAAAAGAAAACAACTGATTATCTTACCTGTATAAAATCCAGCAAGGTGTCAGCTTCGACAAAGATTATTTCCTCCCGATTTCACTGGTTCGAGTGTCACTTCCGGTTCACTAGATGTCCGCGGGAACGAATGATCGAAGCGCGGTTCGCGTATCTCCCGGAACCGTTCGAAACGGTTTCTGCGTCTCGGCTGGCGGGTACGGGATAACCGGAAGTCGAGAAAACGCGGCCCTGCTTTACGGCTGGGGGTAACACGCGGACTGTCGGACCAGACTCAACCACCGTGCCGCCTCTCTTTCTCTCCCTCCCTACCTCTCTCTCTCTCGCTTCGCCGCCCCCTCCCCATTCTATTTCTCCCTCTCTCTCTGCTTCTCGCCCCTTCTCTTTCTCCTCCGCTATCCTTCTTCAATTTCACCCCAGCCCCTTTCCCACCGTTCGTCAGTCTCCTTTTCGAAATTGGCCATTTGTCTGTTTCCATTCTCTATTTACATTTTCTCTTCTATTATTCCTCCTCTTCGTCCTCTTTCTACACCTTCCTCCTCCCGTTTCTCTCCTCTCTGCCCTTTCCTATCTCCATTTCGAATACCACCCACTCCTTACCTTCTGCCCTTCCTATCTTGCTTCTGCTCTCGGTCTTACTTCTCCTTCGTCCCATCACCACAGCCTCCGCTATCAAAGCCTGTAAGCTTGTGGTCGCAACGCGCAAGCTCTCGATATTCAAACGTTGCGAGCGTGTTCGACGAGCCACAGCGAAACTACGGAGTGCGTTCCTTTTGTTCCTCGCGGAAACTTTATCAGCCCAGCGACGAGGTTGTAAATAATGGCTTTTTTTCCACCGAGCATACCACCCCTCCGCGAATGCCTTGCCACGGGATAAAATTCCTCGCCCTCTTTTGCCACGGAGGAATCATTGTTCCCGCACGACTATCCGCTTAATCCCTCGGACAATCGGGATCGATTGAAAGGTAGCCGAGCTTCGATTACCAACTGATCGCGTTCCAACGCGTTAGGTAAACGCCTGGCGAATCAGTTTTCCGTTCGTCGTTAGCACTGAATACATCTCGACGGGGCAGCAGAAATACAGGATGTTTCAGGAGGCGTTGTACGACTGGAAAATGGGAATTAATGTAAAAATGAATGGAAGATATATGGTAAAATATTTGAACAAAGAGACTGAGAATATTGAATTAACCTTTTGAAATAAATCTTATTCTGAGAATATCCTAGGAGACATTAATTTTAAACGAGGAAAATGCACAGGGTATTTCTGGGTGCGTGGTGCATCTGAAAAGGAAATTAATGTAAAAAGAAATTGAAAATAAATAGTAAAATTCATTCGCGAGGAAAGATTGAATCGTATCATGGAAAATGTACGTATAATGCAAGACACTCTGAATACCTTTTAAAATAAAATTTGTTTCGAGAATATTCCAGTAATTATTAATCTTAAATGAGGGGGATGTACGGGATATTTCAGGACGAGTGGTGCAACTGAAAAAGAGAAATTAATTTAAAAATAAATTGAAAATAAATAATAACTTAGGTGAATTTCAAAGATAAATTCTGAGCATTACCTAACCTCACACTCCGCTGGCGCCACTACGGAAACATTAATAACCTGCAATTTGTCAATGTATTTTATTTTCATCAACAAAGATGTAAACGCGAGCGAGGTTACTATATGAATAAATTCGTCGATATTTTCGATACGAAACATTTGGTTTCAGAAGCCCTCTCACAGCTAAAGTGTAGTGGAATTACCGGTTAATCAAGTTAAAAAATCCTTGAAGTACGAATGATTAAAAACAATTCAAATGACCTCCATCTGTCGACGGAAAAGCAAAACAAGATAAAACCGATTATACTACTAACTGTACCCTTCAAAACCGTACTTTTATACGAAACATTGCGTCGATGAATATTTTACGAATTATTTCGATACGTCACATTGCGTGACTCACCCAGTCCATTTGTCTTGACCCTTTCTACAGTTACTCGTTCTATCCTTGTCCTACGACTATAGCGCGTGCATAAGCGTGTGTGAGTAGTGTCGAAAATCTTTGTCGCTATGCTTGTTGAATATGGGCCAAGCCGAGAACTGTATTTACCATTCGAAAGTACGCCACAAGGTAGAAACAGTGACGTCAGCTCATTAAAGCCATCGCGAATTCGTTCGTAGGCCATCGCGAATTCGTTCGTAGGCCATAGCGAAACGGCGGATAACGAAACCGCGTTTATATCGCGTCCACGTCAGCCGTCACTCCAGTAGCGTCGACAAATTCGGCTGGCCCTCGCGAAACGCCGATTAACGCGCGGCGCCAGATCCACGCGATACCCTGTCCACCTATCGACACAGCCGCGAGCATGCGATCATCGAATAAAACTCTCGAAATAGCAAAGGTGAAGCCTGTCGCGCGGCCCGAGATCGAAAATTCACTCGATTTTCCCCGTCCCCTCCGTTGACATTTACGCTTCTAACCTAACCTATATCGATCGACGCGCGACAAAACGACGATGTATCGAACGAACGTAAACATAGCCTCGAAAACGAAGCAACCGAATCTCACTGGTCAATTCGCGGGGTTATCCTCTCCTTCTGCGGAGAACACGCACACAAAACAACAGAAACGTGCGTGTATATGTAGGTCGAGTTAATGAAACGCCAGCGAAATCTTATTTTCCCGCTTACCACTTTACGCCGAGCTTCTCTTTTCAACCGCGCGAGAGCATTTGTTGTCCTGATCCTGCCGGACGAGTGGCAGCCGTGTAAATATTCGCGAGTTTATGCGGGGAATGAGTGGCGTGCTCGAAACCGTGTATTTCCATTTGTACGGAAGCGCCGCCTCGGAACCGGGAGTACCGCCGAAAGCCGTTGCGAATAATTGCTGCTACGAAATTGCTCTCAATACGCTTGTAACTGGCGCTCCAACAGCCAGACCTTGAACCCGATTGGTCGGCGCCTGGCAGAGGGGAGCGCGAGTCCCGTGACTCCAGTGTGATTTAATCGCGAGATGGATGTGTAACCAAACTCACGGCGTTATTTATAAACGTAAAGAGCCGTGTACCACGGAAAAAATACCGCAATATCGTACTATCATGATATACGACTTTGTGACACCAAAACGGTTGTTACGTTGCGACGATTTCGACTCGATGCATTGACGTACGTACATAGCATAGACGCGAAGACCTTGTTGCTTCCCGATTAATCGAGCGTAGCGGACCCTTCGTATATTTCTCCGTTGCGTGGCACGGCCAAGCGATTTGTACGAGTGGCGCGTTAATCGCGGAAGGGCTCGGTCGAATTTATGAAGCCGCGTAAATAACGTTTTAACAACGCCGACCCAATTATGCAAATTGGCAGTGCTCACGATCCGTTCTCAGGGCAGTTAATTACGCGGATCGATGGCAATCTGTCAAGCTTGTGACTGGAAACGCGCAAGCTGTTCGCTCGCGTAAAGGGTAACTGACGGACATGAAAAAAGTGGTGGGGGCAAAGGAGGTTGGAGAGAGGGGGAAAAAGAGTTAAACAAGGAGGAATCGCATTAACCGTCGGCTCTACCACGTCGTTGGAAACATTCGAATCTAGCGTTCTAAACAATGGTTCCGCGTCGACGGAACTCGCTGTTCCTACCGGTAATTGGAGCACGACGAAATAACTGAAAATTATTTTAGGTCAGGGCTGGTCGTGTTTAACTATCGATTCCGAAAAGAACAAGAATAAAATAAAGCAAGAATGAGGAAGGAAAGGAGAAGGGAAAGAAGGTCGATGTTATCGGGACCGCCTTAACGGCGGCGAGCCCAAACAATCCATTAAAATATTCCATTGGAACCGGATCGACAACGTTTCGCAGTCATCGACATTTTTCTTTCGTCTTTTTGCGCTCGTTATTAGGAAAACGTTTCAAGGTATCGATTGGAGAGCCGTTCGAGGGTGGAAGAAATTGATTTCGTCTGAAAAACGAAGAACACCGGTCAAATAGCGATTTTAGATCGACATGGTTCAAAGAAGAAATCAGAGGTGAATTATATCGCCCTCTTTTTATCCATTTTTTCTTTTTTTTCTACTTTTTCCTCATTTTTCACTGTTTTACTTTTTTCAGCGTCCGGTTGAACTCGATTAACGAGGAGAGAGAAAGAGAGAGAGAGGAGATGAGATAACGTGGTCTTTTCGTCACGGGGAATCATTGTCGGAAATAGACAAAAGCGCGACGGATAAATGGCTCGTGATATTCGTTCTTGATGCAGCTTTGTGCTGCTGATCCGTTTTTCGACGGTCGTTCGCTTTGTATTTCCTCTTCCCATTTTCACATCGGCCCAATAAAATACGCTAAACGCGTTACTAACAAAGCGTGACGTATGGAAATTTTAACTTCGTTACGAGACGCATCGCTGCTTTCAGATTTTCGCGCCTCTTTCTGTATAATTCCCTCTGCGATGCAAATTTCCGCGCCTCTTCTCTACAACCTATATACCTAAAATAATTCCCCTACGCGCTGAAACGCCGGATCGTTTCCACGTACCTTTGTATTCCTTCATTTTATATTTCCTGATCGTGTGACACTAACTCGTTTAACTTTAAATGTGCCGTAATCTAAAGGCCCGTTTCCACATGTGATTAAAATCTCTTTAATCTCTGATTAATATTTCGCACTCGACGTTACCGCTTTGGTCACCTCAGGATTTTTGGTAATTTTTTAATATATATTATATATATTTCTTCACCGTATAATCGGTCATGGTACATTTAGTCATGTTGAAATTATTGCAAAGAGAAAGACGAATTGTTGCATGAATGTTTATTTTCGTATGAAATAATTTGTAGACCCGCTACATCATTGTTCTTCGATCCTGGATAATTCAGAAATTAACAGCGTTTGATTCGACCAAGAGAGGAAATGGTTCTGAACGCACGTTTTGCTGGACGTTATTGGCATTGACAGAGAACCAGATGGAAGGACATGCGAAACTCGAAGTGGATCGATATGGATCTGAACGAAGCCGTACGATCGAAACGAAACAATTTTAACTCGGATCCGAAGCTTTACTACGTTGATATGAAACATCTACTTAGTTCTAATACAATTAGAACGCGTTATCCTCCTTTAGTCAACCTTATTTTGTACAATGCTTGACTCGATTTGCTACTGTGTCGAAGATAACAAGAAAATCGTGCATCGATCGATGGAAAAGGAAAACATGGAGAAATATAGTAATCCTTTCGATCCTGTCTCGAATCCGGATAATAAAAGTACAGAAAAAGAAGAAAACGGAAACGAACGAGAATTTCAATTATACATAAACCGATTTAGTTCCAAAGGGATGCGGTAACGTGAGTGGATCGCAGGTACAGCATATAAAAACGATGCAGGCCAAAAAATAAAGATTTTATTCATCCACGTACATCACGTACAGAATAAGGTTGATTAAATTCACTTCAACTATATAATATGTATATTTCTGTTGATTTTCTTCCTCAATGTTTATGCGCAAATTTCAAACTCTCTGATCACTACGTATCTAGAGTATCTACACGTCTTTATCTTTTCTTTTTTTCATATATATTTTCTCTTTATGGTTCCTATATAATATAATCTTCTCTTTTTGTCCTCTCTTCCTATATCTCGCATACTCTCTTATCTCTCGTATCCATTCGCTTTGCTTTCACCGTTCACGGTTCGCAAGATCGGAAAATCTAGAATTCTTCGAGTATGTACGATGTGCAGTGCGGCGAGCACCGGCCATGTTCTCTCGAGATTCGAAACAGTCAGTAATCGCATGGTACAACATATGGCGTGTATGGTTGCTGCGGATAATTCGCTCGTTGACAACAGCGACTGTGCCTTCCGGTTCGGTTCGCTCATTCGATTAGTCTTCATTCTACGCGTCGGTTCGTTACTCAAGTACACGTGGAAACGTTTCTTAAATAAAACAAGAGGCTCCTTTTATATACGAGCACACACAGAGATCGTGTAAATATATAGAACGTTTCTCGAGGAAGACTCTTCTCCGCAATTGAGAGCCCAACCTCGTGGCCACGTCCGTGAAAACGCGAGAATCCCAATTGCGCCATCGAGTCTTCTCTCGCTGATATACGTAGATTTAAAATAATCTTATAATTATGTCCTAGCCGACAAGAGGCGTCGGTGTAATTAATGTAACGAAACTTCGAAGAGTTTCCTCGATTGCGGTAATTAATCTTCGGCTGATCGTATAATACTGATGGATATTCCTGGAGATTCTCTCTATCTCTCTCTCTCTCTCTCTCTCTCTCTCTCTCTCTCTGAAAAGCCACGAAATATCTGTCGATCTGGAGGGAGCATTTCGTGGATACACGTTTGCGAAATAATTTCTCGTTTGTTTTACAAAAGCACATAGATTAGTGATAGATTACGAGACAATAGGTCAGCGAATAAGTAAGCGGATCGACGAGTGACCGCTTAAAAAGTAATTCCGTTTCGCCAGGGTTTGATATGGAAATCAAAGAAAACGTGCGACAAAGTGGGTCGATTGCGTGCCTCGAATCGGACTGGTCCATGCGTGCAAACGTCGAAGAGGTATCGGTGTTCTTTTTCTTCTATGTGTAACTGACTTGAAGAATTTTGAGTACTACCGGAAAGTCTTCGACTTTGACTCACTACTGATATATATATGTACATTTCTTCGCGTCCGCTTTTCTAGCGGTTGCTTCTCGCCATGATCGCAGATCATCGATAAATTTTGTAAAAAATCGTTCGTGTAAAGGATCCTACACGTGTGGATATGTAAGTTCAAGAGTAAATAGATTACGGATAGTATGTTTCGCACGAATGCCTAAAGAGAGAAATGTCTGACGATGAGAATAAAATACAGCTAAAGATACAGTAACATCTAAAGAACGATAATAACTTAACGATATAAAGGAACAATCCGTAAATGTCTCACGTATAAAGAAACTGGATCCATGGAAAGAAATTTTGTATGAATCATGTATTTTTATATATATATATACGTAAGAAAAAAGATTTCTTTCCTACAATCTCATTCCAGTTTATTCTTAGCCCGTTTAAAATTCTACGTGGAGATTGAATAACTTGATATTTGCGTCGTTTAAACGTTTGATGCATCGCTTAATTCCTCGAGATAACTTTGTAAAGTCGAACATCTAATAATCTACAATAGATATATGGCCCAAAAATTCACATCCGAACGCTTTTGAAAATATTTTCCGTGAAAAATCACAAACGTTGGCACGCGTGGACCATCGTTGTTCCTGCTTGTTGCCGTGTTAGATAATCCCTCTCAACTCGACACGCGCTAAAAACTCAGCTACGAATTCAGTGGTTAATTGGTACGAGACGGACGGGCTCGTCGAGTTGCGAGGATAATTCCGAATGAATATTGTTCCCAACTGAGACTCTTCGGCGTATCGTTCTTAAATCTGAATGTGCCTTTCGTGTTATATTCTGTTCGTTATTTCGTTCGGTGTTTACCGATATTTCTCCTCCCTCTGTGTCAGCGAAAGGACTCTTAGCGTGCAATAAAACTGAAACCGTTAATTTTCCTAACCGTTGAACTTTGTTTAGTCTTTCCGAATGCTCACGCAATAGTGATCGACGATGGACAGTAAAAGTAAATCATTATCATCGACTCTTTGGTTAATGGTTGTAGCTTTTAATACTGGATGAATCCTAAATTAAATAATTAAATATTAACGAACGACCATCTAAAGAAGTCGAACGCGTCGTCGACGATCGCGTTTTCTGTTCGCCTCTGACGCAGTTAACGTCCTCTAATAATAAATACTATTATTCGTCACGAAGACAAAAACAATAACGACAAGCTAACTCTGCCGGGAACCTATACGAATATAATTAATATGCGGTATCACAGGGATGTTCGTCAGAAACGCAATTGTCTGAAGAAATTCGAACGTAACTCGGGGGTAACAGAGATCAGAATCGTCGAACATGCACGAAGCTATTTCGATAGAAATAATCAGCGAACGATTGGGAAAAGACAGCGCGGTTGCGTTCGAATTTTTCTCCGTCGCCTGTAAAAACGAGATCCTTAAATAATAAGACTAGTCGCGTGAACATCTCTCGATATGAACGTATCTAGGGTCCTCAGGGTGGTCGTTACATGGCTGTCGACCGTTCCTCGTGTGCCTTCTTCACGATTGCCAATTTCGAGTGTGGATCCGCAGCCGGAAGTCCGGTGTAAGGAGGTTCTCTGGTTCCATGCAGCATCAAAGTCCACTCTCTGATCCATCCGTGCTGAGGAGACTGAGTATTGAAGCTCACCTGCAAGAAAAAGGTAATAATATCGACAATCCAAACAAAAGGTACACTTTATTTTCTACGAAAGGGGTGTGCAGTTTAATTAAATTTCGTTGTTGGTACCTCCAACAACCAGGTCCCTTGAGGATACTCTCCCCAGGTGTGAGTCGTCATGAAAGGCCATTTGGTAAATCCATCTCTGTGATCGTCATCGTTTTTCCTTCTGCTCAGGATCATCGATCTGAAACGAGTTTGTCCAGTTAGTCTCGTACATTTTTACTCATAATTATAAATATCGAGAATATTTTTCCACGAGAAATTCTGTGATATTACCTAGTACCCATGGGAGAAATTAGGAACAGCTCCAGATCACCTCGTCGCGTGGCGTTGACGGAAATGACGGCTTGCACGTGCTCCAGATAGTTGACGGCGTACTCGGTGCCGGCGCAGGCATCAGTCTTTATTTTCAAGAAGATCGATCGATTGCTCGTCACTTCGCTGGAAAGGAAATTGACACGTTCGACGTCAGCTTGTCGAGCTGGTGATGAGGCTTAAGCGCCAGAGCAGATTCGCCGGGAAAAGATTATCGGAGAGAAAAGACGTCCTGATCAGTAATCCAGTGTCGGGGGAAAACGGGAATAATGTCGCTCTCGAGAGGAATAAAGCAGACGACATATAACTCGACGGAACACCCGACAGGAGGGAATCGAGATGGCTAAAATCGATACTCTGACCGTCCACGTGCCACAATTTCATAAGCGTTTAGGCTGCTTTTTAGACGGGTTTTAACTTGCCAAGGAAGGACAGGAAAAAGGACAAGTATTCCAGTCCCTCTTGCTCATGGACGGTCTAGAGCGAATCGATAGCAGAGGAAAATACCCACAGAGTTTCCAGCACGGTACCAGCCTCGCAGTGATAGCGCGGAGGTACAGTTTTCCATTCCTTCGCCAAGGCTACCATTGCACCGGCATCCAACACGCCATAACCGAAGAGATGGTTGAATTCCAGACCAACCCCGTTCATCGTCCAATGGAATCTTCTTTTCGCGTCGAACAGAGAGTTCCTCTTCGACGTCAGTACCGTCAGGTGCTGTATGTCGCGCCAGGTCAACTGCGGACTGAAATCAAAGTCAGCGATTTTGTGTATACGACATTTTGTACGACCGATTTTGCCTAGTCGATGTACTTTATATAATCGATTTCGTATAGTCGATTTTATATAGCCAATTTTATAGTTGACCCTTCGACGACCTCAACCCTCAATTCGCGTTAACACAGTTTCGATCTTACGTAATTCATCTCCAGAGGGGACCAGGAATGGTCATTTCCTACATCCTCTGTACCTTTTTCCTGGGTTAACACGATCTTACTTTATTCCTTCAGTCTATGCAAAACTAGGTATATTCGAATTTTCTAATATGCCAATTTATTTGTAATTTTAAACCCAACACGTCATTAGACACCATGATCACTGAGTGATTCGATAATAAAAGATTTATGATACGATATAGCAGTAAAATTTTTAATCGATTTTTATGAAATAATTCGGTTTTTCAGAGGTTAACATCTGTTTGATTTTCCATCGGCAGATGTATGATTAATATCCTCGCTGAAATGGAACAAAGGGAAGCTGGGTCAAATTATACGGGAAAGAGGTTAATGTCGAATGACCAGTAGAGATAGACGATAATGTGCATGCTCGTTTAAAATTCACCAAAGTGTCTGCCTCGTTTATGGTGACAGCTATTCACCCTGTCGAAGGGAGAAGAGAAACATTTTTGGTTTATTTGCTAGGGAATCCATATTTAGCTGTATCAGAGGGCGATCAAAGGAACTGGAACAAGAGAAAACACAGGGGGTAGAAGGCATGCGGTTTCAAAGAGACAGTGTCGTGCATTAAACCTCGGCCTTTTAATGTCACATCCCTGTCACTAGGTCACGATTCAGCGACTGAATTCGACGGAGCCCCATTAGAGGAGCTTTCGCTCTCTGTAAGCTGTCGTTCTGTTCCTTAATTTTCGCGATTTCTAACGACTGGCAGCCGTTTGAATCGCGGCCCAATTACCTTTGAATAAGTCGAATCTATCCTCGCCGACACTTCGAACAATGCACGAATCGTTTCTCGAAATGATCACGATTCATTCACTATACTTTTCACTGCCAAGCTCAAACCAAATGGCCGGCATTCTTTCAGAGAAATCGCATCCTTTCCTTTGACATCTTGAGCTTAAATTCGGTCTAATCGACGTAAACTAAGGATTCTCAGTAGTGCAGATCAATGGTATTTCAGGCGGAATATTCCAAAGCCATTTTAATCCTTCGAAATTTGAACGATAATTTTAGGAAAATACGAGCGATTAAATGCATTTTCGTGGGTTGTTGCGTTAAGTATTTGAATCGAGGTACGATTTACGTCACGGTTTGCAATATCATTCGTTATTAAACGAACGATAAAGCAGTAATAAGCTGCATCGTATTTCAGACAGATGGTACTTGCCAGTTTTTACTGCTTTCGGATAACTTTCTCGCTGATACCGTAGGTTCAAGTAGGGTTTTATGTCGTTTATAAAGACCGCATATACGCTTACATGTGGAATTCATGAAATATCGAATACCGAAATATGGAAATATAAAATGTCATCATGATCCATGCCTGAATTCGTGAATTCGGAAAATTCTCGAGTTTGTATTTTGTAATTTATATATATATTTTTTTTATTCCCCGCTTTCTTTCCGCTCTAGCTTTTTCTTGTTTTTAATTTCTTTTTTCCTGTTCTTTTTCCTCCGTCATCTTCTCTTTTTTTCTTGTTTTCTTTTTTATTTCAGTCCTTTTTTTAACACCCTTCTAATTTTTCATTCATTTTTTTTACATTTTTTTACAGCACCCACCAGTTCCTTTTTTTCCTCTTCTCTTAACACCGCGCACCTTTCTAAGGAACCTTTTTCTTTCTATTTACCATATTATTTTTTTTTACCATTTTTTACTGAATAAGTACAATTTTTTAACTCTTTCTTTTTATTCCCTAGAGAATTTAATTTTGTATTTTTGTGATGTATCTTTTTTTTATTGAAAACTTTCTTTCTCTTCCTCACAATAAAGCTTCATGAAGGACTTACACATACATATATGTGTGCATTTAAAAATTTTAAGTTATTAAATCACAATTTTAGAGAAATTGGCTAATTTAAGCACTTTGGAGTTTTACAAGTATTAAAATTGATCAGAATTTAAAGAAAAAATTTTTCGGGTGAACTAGGAATCGAACTCGAGACATTTGGAACGACGAGCACGCGTCTAATGCACTCTGCCAAACATTTCTTATTCTTAATATTGCTATATCACATATTTATGTATGTTTTAATATTCGTAATATTTTATATAATTTTACGATATTTTAACACTTTTAATAAACAAATTTAATATTCATAACAATTTTTATATAATTACTTAATAATTTTTTCCCGTACTTTTTACTGTTAATTTTTATGAATTCTCACAATTTCGAAATAAAATTTTCCTCTTGCTAATTGAAATATTTTATCTGCATTATGTATATACAAACAAATATTATTACGAATCATTTACTCATCCCATAATTAACAGAAAAATACATTCAACATTTAATACCCACGAACCATTCGGATCGATGACCGTCGAAACTCTTAATTACCATCGTTTTATCGTCAATATTTGTACGCAATCTATGTTCTCGGCATTTCAACTAATGACTTATTTATTCCATTTTCAGTAGAGGAGGCATGATGAAAACGCAGTGGCCGCGTGTTTCTCGGTTAATCATTCAACCGTAAGTGCTTTTCTCTTGATAACCAACGAAAATGCTTTCACGAGCGAAGATTGAACACGTAAATTGAATACTAAAAATAAATGCCAGGAAAATGTTTCACCCATGGAACTTTACCTTTGAGAGCTTCTCGCCTCTAACCGCATCTGGTAGCTCGATATTTATCGCGATCAATCGATCGAGCTTGCACAACGTGCATGAAAATTCGCGTACCCGTATCCTCGAGTTGCATTTAGGTTGTACCATCAGGTTTAAGATTCCGATCACGCGACGATCGAATTTCTTTCTGGCTCCAGGATAACAATTTCGGTGGTCCGAACGTTGCAAATTTTTCGCAAATTTCATGAATCACATGGTGCATTAGTACCTTTCGCGAAAGAAGATCGAAGAATCTCTGGCGATCGCAGCGATCGAATCTTTTTCTTATTCCATACCTATATACCCGGTGTTTCGAAAGTTGCAACTTGATCGTAAACTCCGTGAGCAATATTGTACGTGAGAATCATTCGAGGGAGAAGATCAAAGATTCTTCGAGATCGTATTAAAATTCGCATGCACACTCACTTGGCCTCGAGGGCGAGGGCAAACACTCCCGCGGCTTCCGGTGCAGCGGCTGACGTCCCGCTGTGCGTCGTGGTGCATTCGCCATAGAGATCGGTGGTGGCCTGGAAAAAAAGGAAAAAAAGAAGTAAAGAACGTCGTCGAAATTGCAAAAGAGAGGCACTCTCTGGCTGAAATTAGAATTTACTTTGGAGTCGACTACCGGATACCTCGTTACGAAAGTATACGTTATTTCCATTTTAATTGCAATTACGTTTTCAAAGAGCCTTTGTGTTCGTATTCCTCGCCGCACCCGCGTTCATCTCGAGATTTTAATCCTTTCGAATCCGCGAGATTGAAAACATTTTTTGAAAACCGGTGTCAAAGAATTTTATATGGAAAATATAGACGTGGACATTTCGTATAATTGAAGATGACATAATGAATCGTTAGGTATACTTGTTATACTATTGCACTATACTTTGAGTATACTTCAAAAATACTCCATATTCTTCGAATATACTTCAGGTACATTCGATATACTTCTTTGGTATATTATTATACTATAATATGCAATACTATTATATACACTATTATACTATATCTTGACTATACTTCAGGTACACTCCACATACTTTTTCGATATACTATTGTACTATACTTCCAAGTATATTTCAGATATACTCCATATATTTCTCCCATATGATTTAGATCAGAATAGGGATTGCAGCAGAATTTATTTTGGATTTATTTTAGAACGTATTCTCCTTATTTTAATTTTAATACGAATATAAATACAGGTCTAAGAATTTTATCATATTTCTTCCCGAAATAATCCACATTTGGGTTCTTCAATCCCTTTACTACGGTACACTCGAAACCAAAAGCATTTTTGAGCTTCTACACACCACCAAAAATTTTATAAAGAAAAGAACACGTCTGGCATAATAAATTTCGGATAAATTTAAATATTTCGCTTAATTAACTAAACGTGTTATGCATATGAATGAAAATAACGAGTCTACATATTAAAAAGAATAAAAGTGTATTTATATGTATATTTTAAGTAAGCTATTAAGTGCTACAGGTTTAAGGAGGTACACATACATTGTGCACGGCAAAAGGATTAAATGTTGCAACTCTGAATAGTCCTTTAACACTGCCTGCACTCAGCATTCGTCTCGTTACCCATAATCAACCAGGATACTTTCTTTTCTTTTCTTTCTTTTTTTTTTTTTCGAACTCGAGGAGAAACGTAAGAGCTTGAGAAAGTTAAATTACAGGAGTAAATTCGAGTATCGCGCAGTGCTTTACGGGAACAATTCCGACACGAAACGATCGTAAAAAAGCACGAATCGTTTTAAGCGATTGAATGCAGCAATTCCCGCAGGCCGGATTAAACGTGGTGTTTCCAAACGTTGTAATTTCCTCGAGAGTGGCCGCTCGTGCTCCGCGGATATCGAGAAAGTTTCCGTATTAAAAGTTCGCTTCCGGTAGCGCTTATAACCGCGATAAAATCGCGATAAACGTCCCCGTAATCGGCCATTTTTGTTACAAAACGAGCACCATCATCGAGGTGCTTTGAAAAATCGTTCACCTATCGATGCAGCCTTTTTAGAGAATATTATTAGTTCTCAGAATTTTATTCGACCTGCGTTTATTTTTCAATAACACTATAAAGTTGAGGCGAAAAATCGTTCACCTATCGGTGCACCTTTTTAGAGAATATTATTAGTTCTCAGAATTTTATTCGACCCGTGTTTATTTTTGAATAACACTATAAAGTTGAAGCGAAAAATCGTTCGCGCAAATATTATGATTTCTCATAATTTTATTCGTCATGGATTTATTTTTGAATAACACGATAAAGTTAAAGCGAAAAATCGTTCAGGCGAATATTATGATTTCCCATAATTTTATTCGACAGACCATTTTTTTTTTCTTTTTTAATTTAAATATGAGACAAAAAATTGTTCACGCGAATATTATGATTCTCCACAATTTTATTCGGGATGAATTTATTTTTAAATACCACGATAAAGTTGTGACGAAAAATCACTGACCTATCGATCCACATTTTTACGAATATTATGATTTTTCGTAATTTTATTCGACAAATATTTCTCTTTAAACACCACAACAAAAATCGAAAGTTGTGGAAGAAGGAACGAATATAGAACAAAATCTGGAATGAATAAAAATAAGAAAAAGGAAAGATTTTCTTCCCCCACTTAATATGTATCTATACATATGTAGAACGAGTGCTATTAACCACGGTAAAATGCTTCAAAAAATCATTCACGTGTCGATGGACCTTTTCACGAAACCTATTATAATTTTCCATAACTTTACAGAACATATATTTCTCTGAAAATGTCTCAATGAAGATTGAAAATTGACGAAAAAAAAGACGAGCATAAAAGAAATAAAAAGAAGTCGGTTCCTTTCTTTTATTTAACACACAAAACAACCATTACCACGCACGACGCGGTGCTTTGATCACCCACCTGTCGCCACAAGAAAATTCCCAGAGAATCGTAAAATTTTCCATAATCTTTTTCGACGCATATATTTCCTATAGCTGAAACTCGAAACCTGAGGAAGGGAACCGAGTATGAAAATGATCTCTATCGAATAAAAATAACAGAGGAAGTGCTTTGAAAGGTAATCCACATGTCGATGCACATATCCACGAATCATATATTACATTTTCCCATAATTACGACACATATTTTTCCACAAATGTAGCTATAAAATTCGAAACCTAAGAAAAGGGAAACGAACATGAAGAGAAAAGTCAGTGCTTTGAAAAATCATCCACCTGTCGATCCACCATTCCACCATCACATACAGGTACTACAATCGTATAATTTTCCACAATTTTATTCGACACAAATATTTTTCCAAAATCATCACCATAAAAATCGACATCAGAAGAAGTGGAAACGAGTGGAAAAGAAAAGACCTCCATCGAATGGAAATGAAATAAAAAACAGAGGAAATTCCTTTCTTTCACTTAACACCAGGCCGATCAGGGTGAGAATAAATCTTATTGGAGAGTGTCCCGTGTAATCCGTGCCACGAGCGTCCACCCCATCTTTCTCCTTTATTTTCCCCTTCGTTCGGGCGTGAAATTTTCGTGAAGCAGAGAGCGCAGGAAATCCGAGCGGACCGTGTTCATCCATAAAATCCCGGCCATCGAGCGCAAAAACGGCGAGGAACGAGGGCAAAATCTATTCAGGAACGCGTTAGTCGCTGGTGTGAGGACTGTAAACGATGCGACGTAACACGCTGTTAACAGCCAGTTTATAAAAGATTATCGAAAACAGCTGTTTCATCCTGCAACCTGCACAACCCGCCCAACGTTCACGTAATTTCCAGCCTCGACAGCTTTTCGCATTTAAATGGCTATTTACTTCGAATTCCCCTATCTTATAAAATCCAACAACTGATAAATCTCTTCTTCGGAGAAATACACGGGAACCTAATCGTTATACACAGTTCACGCGAAATCGTGGTGAAATCGACATGGATTAATTCCTCGTGCAAAACTGAATCGAAAAATTGGAATAAAGTTTTCTCGTACGAAGCTTCGTTTTCGAGAAGATCGAGCTCGAAGATGCGTTGGGTGCGCGCGCATTTAGGTACAGTCTACACTACTGCGCGTGCTTCGAAACGATACCAGTCAGAGCGAGATGTAATTTGAATGGATAATAAATTTCGATACCTAATTTATTTCAATTATCCTAATTATTGACGGGTGTTGGAAATATCATTTTTGGTATTAACCAAAACGGAAATTTTGGTATTTTTGGTATTTTTTCGAAAATAAACGACGTTTTTCTCTCGTATTTTCGAGCTTGATTTTCTCGTAAACAGGGCTCCGTATGAGAAAATTTTATTCTACGTTTTCGGCTCAGTTTTATGCGAGGAATTGCCTCCTTGTCGGTGGTCCCACGATTTTACGAGCATTTTGTGTATATGGAGAGATAAATGGAGATAAGGGGAATATGTTTTCTGGAATCAGATCTGGTTTTGCCACGTGTCTTGTTCTTATGGGACTACTGCTTATCTCGAGGACCGTTCTCGTTAGGTCGATAAGAAAAAGGAAGTATCCAAGAATAAAAACGACGATTTTCCCACGTGGGAAGACTTCTGTGCCAGAGGACCGATCAATGGGGAGCGTCCATAAAGCCGTGATATAAAGTTTACGTGCAGCTCGTAAGCTTCCGTGAGGTAAGAACTCGACTTCCTTGTTCGCGTTAATCCCAGCGATGGGAACGACCCTCTCGCGAACAACAGTTTCGCGAACAATGCACACTGTTTATTTAAGAGGACCATGGTTTGTCCCAATTCTAATTTACACTTATTAATTAAAGTTGGGAAACAAAGCGATGATTTGGGCATATACCTTCTATTTTTTTACTTATTTAATAAATTGGAGACGAACTCTCACTTCGTCCTACGATAAATACTGCCCTGATTCGATTAAAAACACATTATTCTTCATGAAATTTAACCCTTCGCATTGAAGAAGTGACTTAACACTCGAATTACCGATCTGTAATGAGTACCTAAATATTATATACATTATTGATGATAATTGAAGCAGTACAATGAAAATAAAAGAGCATACGTAATTATGGTCACATTCGAATAAAAATCAATATTAATTTTGCCAAAAGCAACTGCATACTCTGAACAATTGCAGAGATAGGAAATTTAAAACAAATCATTTTTACCCCTTTAGTAATTTTAGTGTTAAGTAACTAGTATTAAGTAACTATAAGTAGATCAGAAGTAATTACACGTGAAATATTAAAATAAAATATCTGCCATTTTCTTTTTCCATCTTAAATGGTATTACCGAACATAGAAAAATATAAGAAAAGCTTCGAATTGTTATATCTATATAGCGAAAAAATTCGAGTATAAAGAGTTAAGTACAGGAAGCCCTCCAACAACACGGCATCTTATAAAACGGTTTCGCTATAACACGATTCGTAAAATGCGGGAACCCTCCTACAACAAGGCATCCTATACCACGGATTCGTCCTAACACGATAAAAAAGTTGCAAAAGCATTTGTACAGCACTGTACTTCTATACGAGCACTGACGACGAAG